GAACAAACTCGGGTTCTCCTGGCGATGTCCCTCCCCAGACCCCAACCCCGACCCATCTGGGCGCCTGCCCTGCCCTGCATCCCTCAGGGGGCGGGAGACAAAGATGGGGGTCGTCCGGCTCCCACAGCCCTGCCAAGAGGCCACCCAGCCCGTTCTACAGACGAGGAAGCTGAGGGGGAAGCCATGGCCCCTAATGACCCGCTGCAAGGGACAGAGCTGGGATTCCAGCCCCCGGGCCTGGCCTACACCTGGTGCCCGGCCGCCCCGGCCCTCACCTTCTCGGGGTGGAAGAGGATGTTCCCCAGGCCCTGCAGGCTCAGCACCCGCACCGCGGGGCTGGGGTCCCTGATGCTCTGGGCCAGCACCATCAGGGCGTCCGGTTCGGGGAGCACCTCCAGCAGGGCCGGGCTGTAGAGGAACTGGGGGCCCCCAAGGGCAGGCAACTTGGCCTGGCCCCCTTGCCCCTCCAGGGGTGGGCTCTAGGACCAGGGGTCGGTAGGGGTTTTGGGGTGGCGGTCGGCCAGCACCCTCTGGGTATCCTGGTTAACAAGCATTGGAAACTGGCCTCCAGGCGGGTTCGACCCTTCGGGTGTCGCTGCAGAAACTGAGGCTCGGAGGGGAAAGGGCTTTGCCCGGGGCCCCACGAGCAAGGCCGGGGCCAGCATCCCTCACTGCCTGCTCCTGGGACCCCGGGACAGAGCCCGCGGAGGGTGACGTTCCTGCCGGCAGGGTGGGGCGGGAGCGGCCCCAGGCTCGGATCTGGGTTTCCCCCTCCCAACGTCCTCATAGGAATGACAGGCCCCCACTCGGCACTGTCCCCAGCTCACAGCGGCAACGCCGGCCTCCCCGCCTGTCTGCTTCTAACGGCCACTTCTAGCGTCAGTCGCAGGGGGAACTGGGTCCCGGAGGGAGGAGAGGACGGGCAGAACTTCCGGCCAGGGGTGCCCGACCTACACTCGGACCTCAGCCCTGCAGGGGGCCTGGGAAGGGGGACCCAGCCAGGAGCCGGCGTGGGAAGGAGGGTGGGAGGGGTCTGCCCCTCCTCGGGGCGAGGTCCGGGTGTGGGTCCCGATGGGGCGCCGAGGCAGCTGGAGGGGGTTCAGGCCTGGTGGAGGGCGCCTGCCCGCCCACCTACCTCATTGAGGATGAGGATGGCCACCTTCCTCGCCCGCTCCTCCCGGCTCTGCAGGCTGGGCAGCAGCTGGCTAGTCACGGCCTTGATCTGCCTGCAGGGGCTCTGCACCATGGCCCTGGGGGTGGGGGTGGGCAGGGGGGCGGGAGCTGGGTCATGGGAAAGCCCCATGCCCACCTTCCCGCCACCACCCAACCCGTCCTGGGCCAGGCGGCTGGAGGTGCCACTGAGTGTGGGTGGGCACCATCTCAGAGTGGGCTTCCGGTCCCTCTGCAGCCACTGGGTGCCACGCCTGGGCTGGGCATCGGGGCGAGGGAGGAGCAGGCACGGCCCTGTCCCCTTAAGGGCCTCGGGCTGGGCTGGGGTCTGGGGGAGACGCCTGCAGCGTCTCTGGGTTCACAGGGCACAGAGGTGTGCTCTTCCCTGCTCGCGGGCTGTGTGCACCTGCGTGAGCCCCCGGGGCTGTTCTCCGAGGCCCTGCCCCTACCTGGCCAGGAGGCCCACACCCTGTGGGTAGGTGTCCAGGGTGGTGAAGAGGTCCCAGGCGTCCTGCAGCTCCAGGCGGGCAAAGTCCTGACAGTGCCCGGTGGTGAACAGCAAGCTCTTCAGTGCCTCCAGCGACATGCTGCGGGGGGAGGGGGAGCAGGGGTGTCACGGGACCAGTCCTGTCCCCGGGGAAGGTGTGCCTCCCATTGTGCACAGAAATGCTCAGTGTTCTGAGTCACAGGTTGGAGGGGTCCCAGCTGAGCCTCGAGGGACGGTGCCCTTTAAATGTGGGGCTAAGAGGCCGGCCGGTGTGGCTCAGCGGTTCAGCAGACCTATGACCCAGGAGGTCAGGGTTCAATTCCTGGTCAGGGCACATGCCCGGGTTTCGGGCTCAATCCCCAGTGTGGGGTGTGCAGGAGGCAGCCGATCAATGATTCTCATCGATGGTTCTATCTTCCTCTCCCTCTCCCTTCCTCTCTGAAATCAATAAAAAAAAATTTAAAAATAAATAAATGTGGGGCTAAGAGTCCAGAGAGGGCACAGGAGGGAGGGAGAGGAGAGCCCAGGGCTGCGAGGCATCAGGGAAGCCCAGAGAAGGGTCCACCTGCAGCTCCCGATGGGAAGCCAGGCTGCACGGACACCTGCCCGCCTGTGGCAGAGAGAGCGCCAGCGTGAAGCTTGGTGACCGAGTGCCGGCCAGTGACCCGGTGTCATTCCAGGCACCGCCCCTGCACAGGCTTGGGGGACCCGGTACGGCCACACCCCCTACAAAGGAGCAAGTAGTCCAGAGGGTGACAGCCCGTCCTGGTCACACGGCCTGGCCAGGGGTGGCAGAAGTGGCGTCGAACCAGGCCCCTGGCTCCGAGCCTGCGCTGTGAGGCCGTGGCCATGGGCCAGGCCCGCAGGAGGGTGCAGGTGCGGTGCAGGGCCCTGAGATGCAGGCCCCCAAGAAGCAGGGTGCCCGCTCTGTGCCCGTCCCCGTCCAGGCCACCCCGCGCCTGTCCTATCCGCCTGGGCGTGTCAGCGCGCCCTGGGACCAGCCCATCACTCCTGCCAGCCACCTGCTGAGCAGATTTGCAAAACCAAGTGCCAGAGGCCGAAACGCCGCTGCCCGGGGTCCCCGGTGGCACCGACCCCAATGCCAGCCGGCTTGGCGTCTTGTCCAAGAGGTTTCTAGGCCACTGGTCTCGGCCAGGGAGTGGGGCTGGCTCCGGAGAGGGGGGCCTCGGGGCAGCGTGTTTTGTGACCCTGGTGTCAACGCTCGCTCGGAAGCTTCTGGCTTCGTGCCCGCTTGTCCCCGTGGTCTGACCTGGGCCTTCTCGGGGCTCCTGCTCGGCTCTGCCTTTTTTTTGGGTGGGGCCGCCGAGGGGCCGGGCTGTGCAGGCAGCTTCCTCCTCCCGCCCCCGCCCTGCGTTCCAGGAGGAGGACGTTTTATTAGCTGATTAGGGAAGATTCATGCGTTCTGCGCGGCGATCTGACTAAAAAAGGAACTTGACGCACATTCGGATTCAGAAGCCGTGCGAGAGCAGCGGTGTTTTTCCCGGTGCCGCCCTGGGGCAGAGCCGTTAAAGTGACAAACTGCGGGAAGCGCATCCTAACACAAACAAATGGGAGAGTGGGCCCCGTGGCTTTACAGACGGGCTCATGGGGCTTCTCCAGGCGCGGTCTGTGCCGAGGGAGACGGGCCCCACCCCCCCCGCG